TTGACAATAAAATTTCTCTGGCTGTGGGCACAGTAAATGTATTTAAAATCTGTAAACACAACAATTGTAGAATTAATTTATATGTACATACATATATGTATGTGTACATGTTTATAGCCCTTGAATCAGTCAGCAGTACGATTTGGTTCATTCAATTGCAGTTTTAAGCGCTTTCCTCTACAAAAAACCTAGCGCATAAATGCAATTCATTTCGAATTTTGTGTCATTCATATACATAAATATATATGATACATATATAAATTGACATATATATAGTTGCAGACCCCAATTGGCAGAGTCAAACAAATAAACACATTGATATGGGGTCAAATTTAATCAGTGCAGCTTTTGCAAAATGCATGCATTTATTTATTCAATTTGCAAAATGTCAGGCGAGCGAATGCGCGCGGCTCTCTGGGCTTGTCGGTTGCATTGGCGAGTTCAGCGCGAGTTAAGTTGGCAAAACATATTCAATTATGCATTGGATTAGGTTTGGCCTCAAATTACGTAGTCTTTGCGCCAGGCCAGGCCAATGTGTGCGTGTGTGTGTGTGTGTGTGAGCAGCAGTGAGACAACTCGACACTCGACTGTCTCTCTGTCTGTCTGACTGTCTGTCTGTCTGCTGTGCTCTGTGCTCTCTGTGCCCGTTGTTGCCTTCATTTTTGCTGGGCGAGCAAAGTTTGTGTCGCATAACTTTTTGGATTTGATTAAGCTGACTAACTGCAAATTGATTGCATTGTAAGACGCTAATTGGCTGGTTGTCCGTTGTCTAACTTTCGAGTCAAGTTCGTGGCGCTGCTGCAGTTGCCGTCAGCGATAAATTGCGCATACGCCACGTAGCCAGCGTACAGCTGACGCAAACCCAAGCAGCAACGGGAACAGCAACGGTAATGGCAACCACAACGGCAACGGCAACAGCAACAGCAACGGCACCAGCAACACCAACGGTAGCGGCAACAGCAATGGCAGCAACAACATTGCCCGCATTTGTATAAATATTGACAAATAAAATAATAATATTGTTGCGTTTGTTTGGCTTGCGTTTATTTTCATGTTATTTGCTTTCGTTTTGGTTTTTTTTTTTTTTTTTTTTT